GTGCCGCCCCTCGCTGCGGTCGTGCACCCGGCGGGCAGCAGGGATGGCAGCACACAGGCCCTGTGCCATTCCTGTGCTCTCCCCAGCATCCCCTCCCATCCTGCAATCACCGCAGCCCTGGCTTCATGTTGGAGGGCCTCATGCAGCTGGAGACAGAGACTGCTCGCAGTGAGTTGTTATCCTACACTTATCAGCATTAGACTGGGCTTGACAACTCAGCCTGGGATTTGTGTGGTCTAAATCCTTCTTCATTTGGCAGCCTGGTTTGCTGTTATTTATGGTGCTTCCCAATTCATTAACGTGTGCAGACTGGGCTGTTCTGTGTGCGGTGCCGTCARCAAATGGTTGTACAAAGGAAGGAGGGTCCCGCGCTGAGCAGAGCACAGGGCCCTGATGACCCTGTTCCTCGCTCCTGCCGTCTCCCTTGTGCTTCCAAAGGCAGGACTGGGGCAGGACCAGCGCGTGGGTGATCCGGGGAGAGACGGATAAACCCTGCAGGTGGCGGGCACTGTGGGTGCTGGTGGGGCCGCGATGCTGCCCTGTGCCCTGCCTCCGCATTAGCACTGATGGGTTTAGAGCAAATCCCCTGTAAGCCCCRGCATGTTCCCGCCAGCTGGACGCAGCTCCAGGCCCTCCGGGAAGCGAGGGGCAGCGCCTGCCCCTGGAGCTGCCCCGGCTGCTCCCCACGGCGCTCGGCCCCTTTCGGGAGCCGACCCTGCGACGGGGGCCGTTCCTGGCGCAGCTCCCTCCCCTCCCTGGCGCCGGGTGCTTTACGAGCGCCCCGTTCTCCCGGCACCGCTGCGTCGCGGCCGTGGAAGCCGCAGCAGCGCTGGGTATTTTTAGCACGAGAGCATCAGGCCGGGAGCGCCACGGGCTGGAGCGGCTGGGGATGGATCGCCATGGAAACGGTCGTCTTCAAACTCCCGGGAAGCGCAAGGGAAGGGAAGAGCCGGGAGGAGCCTCGTCCCCMATCCCTGCCTGGTCCCAGCGGCTCTGACAGGCAGCAGTCAGCGACCATTTCAGTGCAAATGTGTGGATTTTGGCTGTTGCAGCCCCATCTCAGTGAGGCGGGAGCAGTGGGTGGAGGGGAAGCATGGGATGTGTTTGGAAAAGCTCCTCCTGCCCTGGAGCTCTGCGGAGCCCGCTGCACCGGGAGGAGCCCTGCTGCTCCCGCCGGAGCTGCCCCTTGGCAAGCACGGCAGCTGCTYGCTGGGCTTGGATCCTTTTTGATGTGTTTTTAGCCCTGCTCTKTATGGTGAGGAGCAGCAGGGACAGTGCAGCTGGCCCAGGGTCGGATCCCCTCAGTGGTGTCCTCKGGTAGGTCAGTGCGGGGCTGGGGGCATGTGGGTTTCCCACAGGTGCCCTAGGAAGCTCTGCAGACAGCAGGGAGCCTGAGCGCCCAGRCACTGCCTGAATTGACTGCACGACRTGAATGACTTGACGGTAGCCAGTGGCAGGTGATGGGGGAGATGAGATGGGATGTGCCCCCAGCGGGGCGGTTTTGCAGGACCCCGCGCGCTCCGATGGGAGCAGCTCACGATGCGCGGGGCAGGTCCCACGGAAACACCGCTCCGGCCCTGGATCTGACTGCTCCTTTCCCCTCGCACCTGGCCGGGGCAGCCGGGATCCTGCTGCCCTCCAGGAGAGCCAAATTCCAGGGCTTTACCCCAGGCCCACAGGGYGAGACCRAACCTTGGCTTGTCCCTGCTCGCTCTGACACCCGCCTCCTTGGGAAGCAGGCAGAGCAGGGAGCGGGGCGGCGGGAGCAAGCAGCAGACACATAGGCAGAAACAAACAAGTTGGAATCATAAAATCTTTCCAAAAGTGGAAACTTTCGATACATTGCCAACTGGGAACTGTCATGAATGAACATCTCTGCTTTAATTAGGGTTTAGCTCAAGCTGCTGAACCAGATTTGGCTCCAAACACGACGTTTCTCAGTGCTGGAGCACATTTGGTTTTAGCTGCGACGTCTATATCTAGCTTTGGATGTGATTACATGTGAGAGTGGGAACATCCTTTGGCTTATTTTTGCAGGGATTTATTTTTTCCTGTTGGACAGACTGGGGCGCCTCTCCTTGAGGCCGCGGCTCGGTTGGTCCCCGCGGTTGGCGCCCGTGCTCTGCGTGTGCACGTGTCCCTGCGTGTCCTGTGCCCGCTCCCGGCCCCGCGCTCCCTCCTCGCGCTCGGCCCTTCCTCCATCCATTGCCGCATCCCGCCCGGGACACAGCGCAGGGGATGACGTGGGGATGGCGATGGATGYGCCCGGGGCCCAGCCCGGTGCACAGAGCGTGACGGATACCCTGGGGTCACCATCGCAGTGCGGCCCCCCTGGCGCTGCCTCCCTCAGCCCTCTGAGCTGTGGGGCACCCCTGGCCTGGGGACGGGGAGGTGGGACATGGGAACAGGTGGGCTGGGATCCCGCCGTTGGGATCTGTGGACACCGAGTGTCCCAGGAGGCCGGGGGCCGTGGGTTCAGCCTCCCGGGAGAGCCGGTATCCGGCGAGGCCGGACGCTCCCACGGCCGCGTCGGGGCTGCCCCTGGTACCTGCATGGCGCAGTGGGCAGAGGCTGCAGGAAAAGGCAGGTCCCTCCAAGGCTGCGGAGCCCCGTGGGGACCCGGCGTCKGCGGGCGCCCGGTGGCTTTTCCCTGCGCACGAAGGGGCCATTGGCCCGCTGGCCCTGCACGCCCGGGCGACAGCGCCGGGAGCTGCGGTGGCTGCAGCTTGCAGCGGGACACGGGGCCYGGCGCCGCGCGGCTGCTCACGCTGCCTTTCCCCTGCAGCCGACATCATCTCCACGGTAGAGTTCAACCACACGGGAGAGCTGCTGGCCACAGGCGACAAGGGCGGCCGCGTGGTGATATTCCAGCGGGAGCAGGAGGTGAGTGCGGGGCTGCCAGCGCCGGGAAGCGGCTCGGGAAGCGCGGGGGGTTGTTGCATCCCCGTGCATCCCGCAGCTGCTGCCACCAGCTGCAGCATCGGCACCCACGGCGTCGTGGGCAAAAGCCACATGCAGGGACAGGGGACGCGGGGGGGATGTGGGGGGGACGCAGTCCCGGCATCCGCTGACGCTGCCGTCCCGCAGAGCAAGCAGCAGCCGCAGCGGCGCGGCGAGTACAATGTCTACAGCACCTTCCAGAGCCACGAGCCTGAGTTCGATTACCTGAARAGCCTGGAGATCGAGGAGAAGATCAACAAGATCCGATGGCTGCCGCAGCACAACGCCGCCTACTTCCTGCTCTCCACCAACGGTGCGCGCCGGCCGGGCCGTGAACGCAGCGCTCCGGCTTTGCTTTGGCTTTAGGGAAAGCGGGGGGATTTGCTGCAGTGTGCAAAGACTCACTAAACCCATTCCAGTGGGGGGGAATCATTGAAAATGTAATGAAGATTAATTATGGACTATAATGTTCTGCTAATTGAGTTTTTAAATAGCTTTTTGATTAGCAGGGATATTCCCTTTCCGTTTGGGCTGGTGTTGCACATGCGGGCGCGTTATCAAAACACCTCCTGTCAAAATAACTTGCATGTAGCCTTGTTTCCTTTTGCCCTTGCTGCTAAAGCAGCCCCATGAGCAGCAGCGCCCTCCGCAGAATGGGTTAATGGAGCCCAGTTAATAGCAGGGAGCTGGAATTACGGTGCAAGAGAGAGAACTGGGGTGGATTTTAGGGCTGTGCACGAGAACTAGTGGCAGAGGGGAAGGGAACAACAGTGAGGACAGCAGGCGGTGATAGAGGGTACGAGCGATGGAGGGGCTGGGGGGCAGAGGTGCTGGAGGGGAGCCGGGCGGCTGCGGCGGGAGCAGGTTTCCCCACTTTCTGGGCATTTCTGCTGGCRGTTTGTGTGTCAAAGGATTTCCTTGGTGTCACTGTGTGGGCTGCGCGCGTCCCCGCAGTGTCACCGCACGTGTGCCCCGCAGATAAGACGGTGAAGCTGTGGAAGGTGAGCGAGCGGGACAAGCGCCCCGAGGGCTACAACCTCAAGGATGAGGACGGGCGTCTGCGGGACCCCTCCATGATCACGACGCTGCGGGTGAGCGCGGCCCTGCGGGCAGCGTCACGCACGGTGCCGCTTGGCCCGGCGCGCAGCAGGGCAGGGGTGCACGTGGGCACTCCTGGGTGCAGCATTGCGCTGCGAGTGCAGCAGCTGCGCTGGTGCCTGAGAACCATTTGTGCCACAGCAACAAGATTGGCTGATTTTTCATGTTCTCCAAACCATTACCATTTAAATGACAGGGTAGTTCAAAACATTTGGCTTTTTGGGCTATAAAATGCACGTGGCAGAACTGATCGCTTGCAAATGAGCACCAGCAGTCCACGGTGACGGGGGTGGGAAAGAAGGGAAGCTTTTCCCGGGATGGGCTCACCGGGATGGGCTGAGCCCAGGGCACTTGCCTGGGCTCCCGGAGCGAGGACGGGGGCGAGGGGGCGCCGGGCCCGGCGGGACCGCAGTGCCGCGAGCGGCGCGTCCTCCCGCCCCCCGCAGCCGCCCCGAAGCGGCGGGAAATTAAGACACGTTGTTCCTAGATGAAAAATGACTGGCGTCCCTCGCCCTGAAAGCACAGGGTAATTTAATTTGTTAGTGGTTTATTTTACTTGACAGCCTCACTCTGCACTGGCTGCAGTTTGTTACGCTGAATTACCCTTTAACGAGGGCTGTGTGTATGTATATATATATACATGTATGTGTGTGTATATATGCACAGAGCTGCATGTGGCAGGCTGGTGCCAGTGCTGGTGTCAGTGCCAGTGTCAGTGCTCGTGCTGCGCGTGTGCGCTGCGTCCGCCCGCGCTGATGCCCGCTCTGTCYGGCAGGTGCCCGTGCTGCGGCCCATGGACCTGATGGTGGAGGCCACCCCACGGCGGGTGTTCGCCAATGCCCACACCTACCACATCAACTCCATCTCCGTCAACAGTGACTACGAGACCTACATGTCAGCCGACGACCTGCGCATCAATCTGTGGAACTTCGAGATCACCAACCAAAGCTTCAGTATCCTCGGGCTGGCGGCTTCGCTGGCGGGGCTCATCGCGCGCTGCTGGCCCCGGGTTCGGCTCGGGGGATGCAGCGAAGGGGAGGGCTCAGTGGAGGGGCTCAAGGGGTCTCCGAGCAAGCAGGGACCTGCAGGGAAGCGAGCAGCAGGGCGGCTTGGCCGGCACCCCGGGGACACCCTGAGAGCTGCTGTGGGTGGCCCTGCAATGTGCGGGAGGTGCAGAAGTCCTGGGGAAAAGGAGGGCRCAGGCGGGATGTGGCGGCCAGTCCCTCCAGTAGCCCCACAGAGCCAAGCTGCTCCCGGGCTGGAGCTGGGCTTGCGGCCGGAGCACTCGGAGCCCGATGGAGCGCAGCGACGGTCCCTCCGACAGCAGGAGGGTGCCGGGGCGGCAGCCGCAGGGCGCTGCTCAGCGTCAGCTTTGTGCCGTTTCCCCCGGGCAGCGCTGGGAGGCTGCATATGGGGATTACGGCGGGCGCGGGCGCAGGAGGGGCTGTCCCGGGGCCGCGCGTCGCCCTTGACCTGCCACAGACATCGTGGACATCAAGCCGGCCAACATGGAGGAGCTGACGGAGGTGATCACGGCGGCCGAGTTCCACCCGCACCACTGCAACGCCTTCGTCTACAGCAGCAGCAAGGGCACCATCCGCCTGTGCGACATGCGCGCGGCGGCGCTCTGCGACCGGCACGCCAAGTGTGAGTACCGGCAACGGGTCCCGCGCGCCAGGCAAATGCCCTCAATGGAGGCAGCCTGCTCCCATGCACCACTCCCATGTGCTGCTCCCGTGCACCGCTCCTGTGCACTGCTCCTGCACGTGGCACGTGCTGCTCCCATGCACTGCTCCCATGCTCCGCTCCCGTGTGCTGCACCTGTGCGCTGCTCCCCAGGTATCCACTGGCTCCACAGGGCCAGCACGGCCACAGTCACAGAAGCCATTGCAGCTCCAGGGCATCCCGTGCCGAGGSGCGGGCAAGGAAGTGGGAAGATGTCCTGGAAGAAGCTGACGTTGGCAGCGAGGTCACCCTCTGTCTCTGCCGCGTCGAAGTGGGGGACCGCGGTCCCTACACTGCAATGGGAACAATGCCACACTTCCAGTGATTTCCTCTCTAAAGCCACATGTGCCCAGCCAGTGTTCCCTAMAGGTGGAATTTGCAAATCCATACAGTGTGGAACTTCTCCAGCTGCTCAAACTGGGATTTGTTCAAGGACGAGATAGACAGAACCCATGTGCTGCAGCTGCTGCACGGACGTCCGCCGACTCCGCTATGGAGCCTTCAATGCCGCTGCACTTCGGGACGCATGCTTTGTACCAGTTGCCCCTGCCAGGGCTCACGCAGGYTCTGTCCTTCCCTCTTGCACAGTTTTTGAGGAGCCCGAGGATCCAAGCAACCGCTCCTTCTTCTCCGAGATCATCTCCTCCATCTCCGACGTGAAGTTCAGCCACAGCGGCAGGTACATCATGACCCGGGACTACCTCACGGTCAAGGTGTGGGACCTGAACATGGAGAACCGGCCCATGGAGACCTACCAGGTGAGCTGGGGCTGCGGGAGGGAGCTCGGCGCGTTGGCGCTCACGGCCGGCCGGGCCCCGGCGCTCGGCCACCCTCTCACAGCACCGTCCCCAGGTCCACGACTACCTGCGCAGCAAGCTGTGCTCGCTCTACGAGAACGACTGCATCTTCGACAAGTTCGAGTGCGTGTGGAACGGCTCCGACAGGTGAGTGGCAGCCCTGGGAGGCACCGACACCCGGGATGTTGGTGCAGAGCTGGGCGCAGGGCAGAGCCCGGGCGCAACGAGCTGCAGCCGCCCTCACGCTACCCCGGCGGCCCCTCCGCTGGGTTGCGTGCCGCTGGCACAGGGCAGCTCTGCAGATCCTCCCACCCGGCACATCCCTGGCACCACCCGTGCAGGAGCCTCCCTGACAAGCCCTCCACCAGCCTGGGTGGTCACAGGGGCTCCTGGGCACCTCGCCAGGCACAGGGGAGCCCGGAGCTCCCGCGCTGGTGCGGACGTGGCTGCAGTCTCAGGAGACGGCCCTGCTCGGGGTCTTGTCCAAGCCATGTGGCCTCTGGCCTCAGATTACCAGAGGCCAGGTGATAAGAGCCATGATAAGAGTCATCGGTGCAGAAACGGAACCATGCCAGGTAGATCCCAGATCCCAGCCGGTTTCTCCTCAGAAACCATCAGCACAAGTTGACTCGGCTCTGCTGGGCCTTGGACCCACATCCCAACCCTGAAGCTCCTCTGCACGTTGCGGGCGTGCGGTGCTGGATGGGGCCGCTTGGCCCCCGTGCGCGGCGGGGGGCAGCTCGTCCCGGCGTCCGGGCCTTGCACTGGACAGAGCCGGGCGCCCCGGGGCCCGCTCACCGCGTCCCCTTCACCCGCAGCGTCATCATGACTGGCTCCTACAACAACTTCTTCCGCATGTTCGACCGCAACACCAAGCGCGACGTRACGCTGGAGGCCTCGCGGGAGAACAGCAAGCCCCGCGCCGTCCTCAAGCCCCGCAAGGTCTGCGTCGGCGGCAAGCGGCGGAAGGACGAGATCAGTGTGGACAGTCTGGACTTTAGCAAAAAGATCCTGCACACGGCGTGGCACCCCTCGGAGAACATCATCGCCGTGGCGGCCACCAACAACCTGTACATATTCCAGGACAAAGTCAACTAGGAGGAGCCGAGTCTCATGTACTGAATACTAGTAAACACGAGGTTTCAAACGGTTCTCTTCTTTCTTTCTTTCTTTCTTTCTTTTTTCACCCTTTCTCTGCCCTTTTGGTCCCTCTCGGTGCCGCCGCCGGAATGAGCGGGCAGCGCAGAGCGCCCCGAGCACGCGACCGGGGGCACCAGCGGCCAGGTGGGCGCCAGCCGGGGACGCTGGGTCCGCAGGGCGCCCGAGCACGGGGTCTGCTGGGGCAGCACGGAGCCGCAGGGACGTGGGCACACAGCAGCGGCAGCAGTGCGTGTGAATGTGCACAGGTGTGAGTGTGTGTGAGGAGCAGGCGTGCGAGAGCGTGTGMAAGAGCATGTGCAAGAACGTGCGCAAGACTGTGCATGGATGGGGTTTCACCCCTGGCCGCCCACCTCGGCTTTGCAGAGCTCCCTCCTTGCGCGGCTGCAGCTGCTCCCCGCGGCTCTGCCCCTCGGCCAGTTCTCAGACTTGCTCTTTTTGGCACCATTTGCCCCATGCTCCTGCCAGCTGGGACAACAGAACCCCATGGACTGGGGCTGAGCCGGGCGGCGTGGGGCTCCCTGCGGCAGCTCCYGCAGCATTTCCCATGGGATTGGCTCCGCAGCGCCCAGGTGACTTTTCGTACCCAAAATACCTTCACGAGCAACGCTTCTGGAGTCCAAACCACCCACGTGCTTTCCTCCAGCGTTGCCTGGGTTTTAGTGCTCATTTTTACCCACTCTGTTGCAGTCTTGCATGTGTTACATCTCTGCCTCTCTCTTTTTCTCYTTTCTTTTTAAAAATATTTATTTATTTATTCAAAATTTTTAAAGATGATATAAAAGTTGCTAATTTAAGACATTCTTTTAAGAAAAGGAAACTCAGCCACATGTTGCTGTTATGTTAGCACCAGCAGCAAGAGGCCATGTGCAGCGCCCCATTGCAATCACAGGTGCAGCAATCACCCTGACAGTGATTAATGAAAGCGGCAGCTCCTGTTCTCATGGCAGGGCCACCCCATCTGCTGCAAGGATGTTCAGGTTCCTCCTTTACTTGAGGATCGGTTCAATAAAAAAACAAATTAAAAAAAAAAGAAAGGATTTTCCTTCAGCGTCATGTGTCTCACCCCAGCCCACTCCCAGGAGGAGATGTCCTTSAAAATCAAAATGATAAAAACAGAGCAGGAGCGAACACCTCCTTTCTACACTGTGTTTCCTGCTGCTGTTGGACACCCCAKGGCTGCCACCAGCACAAAGTTGTCCCAAACGTTCCCATGGGGTCAAGTGACATGGGAGCGCGGGGGCTGGCGGGGGTCTTGGGGCAATGGGGATTCCGGGGCCAAGGGCGGGGGGCTGTAGGGCTGTATGGGGCTGTGGCGGGGGGGTGATAGGGGAACGATGCGGTGTAGTGGGCGCTGTAGAGCAGGGGGGACCATGGGGTGCTGTGGGACAACATGGTGCAAGGCAGGACCATGGGGCCAAGTGGGGAGCTGTGGGGCCGTGGTGGGCTGGGGGACACTATGGGGCGMTGGGGCGCGCTGGGGGCTGTGGATGCTGCAGGGTGATGAGGTGCTGTGGAGGGGTGAGGTGTGATGGGCCCCGTGGCTGGGCGGGTGCTGGGGCTGGGGATGGCTGCGCACGGGTGCCCAGTGTCACATCCCCAGCCCGCACCGCGCTGCCCACGAGCGGGGCTGCTCCCAACCGCGACCTCCCTCCCAGCGCGTCCCCCCCGCCGGGCTCCGCGGAGCCACCCTGGGGGCGAGCGGTGCCCGCCCCGTCCGGGGGCTACGCGGGGGCTCCCCGCAGCGGGGGCGGCCCGGGGGCGGCCCCGGCCAATGCGGCCATCGGGGCCGATCCACCGCGGAGCCCATATAGGCGCGGGCAGCGCGGTAGCGGCTGCGGGGCCATGAACGCGTCGCTGGGGCGGCCCGACGGCGCGGCCGGGCCGGGCCCGGAGGCGGCGCTGGCGCTGCCGGCACTGGCGCTC